AAAAATTATTATAGTGGGCCAGGGTAGACAAAGAGAGTGAATAAGTTTTTTCTGTACACAAAGGTCTGGTCTGTCTCTACTAATCTCTAAAGCCTCAGCTATGGCTAGGAAGCTTAATCGTGTGCCTTTGGGGAGAGTGTTCGGTACTCGACACACAACTGTAAATGACTCATCTACTTTGATGCTGTGTTCGCTGTCCACTAGATGAGACAGGATTGCACTATTTAATGATTTGGCTGATCTTTTCCCAAGCCAAACAGGGATATGTTCACGAGTGCGCAAAGATAAATTCCTTTGGGAACGACCTATATAACTAGCTTGTATTGTATGTATTTGACCTCACATTAATATTCGTCAACATCATCGATACACATGAAAGTTTGGTATATATATATATATATATACATATATACATATATATATATATATATATATATATATATATATATGAATCAGGTTCAGCAACACGCATAAACTGGCCACTCAATAAACGGAACTAGCAATAAGGCTATATACTACTAACGGATCTATTCATTTAAGCAGTCGGATATAATTTATATGTCAACTAGTAAACCTTGATAGCTAGATAGGTTTCACTGGAGTACACACTTGACATCATCGTTCACTTCTTCATGGGGATCGGCTCACATCAAAGAGGTAAATCAATTTAGACAACATATCAGGTTGTGATCACATAGCGAAGCCAGCCTAGTTATACAGGCTGAATGGGATATTTCCATTTAAAGTAGGCTGGATAGTTAGTTGGCTAGCTAGTTAGTTTTACAGTTCAAATTGACGAAAATAATTAACATGCTGCAGATCATTATACCGTCGACCAAATTCCAAATATAACAGCTCGATAAATAGATTGTTTTTATGTACACACATATATGAAAAATGATACACATAATTGTACAAAACGTGATAAAATGTCTCATGAAAAAACACATTGCGTAACATTCCTAATCGAATAAAATACTTCAGTTTTGTTATGTTATGTGAATAAAAACAGGAATGAATAGAGTCAGTGAGACACAATAAGGTATTAAAGGTCGTACATTAAAACATACATATATGTAACTACATACATTTAGACTATTGGTGGTTGTTTGTGTGTAGAAATTCGGATTAACCTTTTCGTAAGTGTTTCGTCCCTAATTAACATCGGTAACAAAGGATCACTCAAAGATAGCTGTTTCGTCCACCCACCCACCTCCAGACTGCTCAGCAGCAGTACTCATCCATGACGAAATCAACATTGACATCAATCTCCTATTCACTACCAGCTACTGAATGCATGTCCTGATGAGAAATCGTGGGCGTTGGGGGTTGACTATGTGTGGCGTGAAGTGGATGTGCTTATCTAAGGTATTGTGGGTAAGGGTAGTGGCATTGTATCACAAACTGACAAATGTTAGAATTCACATATCACCGAATTCCTGACCAACTGGATGAATGGTCAATCAGGGTTGGTCCCTCAACCAGAAGATCCCGAGTGATTCGATGATGATGGTTATTTGGTTTGTTAACAGATCAATATCACCCACACATTGTATGTCTAAGATAGTGAATAACCCTGAGTTGAATTCACACTCGATGGATACAAGGAGGGCGAAGGGGCAGAGCTCAAATTTAGACAACCAACAGGCGCGAACACCGCACCAGCGACTACGGAAACGGCCATTGTACTCAGCCTACTAAATCTCTCCATCACATAACCCTAACATACCTCTAACCAACCCTGATATCCCTTCCCCCGAATCTCTGTCTAACCTGTCACGGGCCTAAACTGAACCTTAATCTTTCCCCATCTTAACACAACTTAAACTAACCAGATGTTCAGTTGAATAACATTAAACTTCAATCAACACTTCGTTCGCTATTGAATCTAGCGTTATGTACCTGGTTTCACTGTCTGTCTCACCCCAAATATGAGCGTGCTCCAGTGTTCTTGGTGCCGTGTTCTTCCGCCTGTATAGGCTATCTCAAGTTCAGCTGACATTCAACGGTCCATTAAAGTTGACTGCTGATAATTTCCCATCGTATGTAAGATGCACGGATGATATTCTCATCCTTCGTGACGATAATTATAAACTCAATCAGTTGTGACAGGTATTTAACAACTGACATCCAGAAATGAAATTCATTCTTCAAATGGAAAACGAATCCGAAATTCTGTTTCTTCATGTGGAGCTGACGAAGAGAGATTATGGAAACTTAAGAAGGTCAGTCCATAGGAAATCTACATGGAATGGTTAACTGACAAATTTCTACAGTTGGATCCTTTCCGAATGACAGTGAAACTTAATTAAATCCCTCTCCACTCGGATCCGACTTACCTGTAGTCCTGAAACTGTAGGTGAAGAATTAGACCTTCTGGTGGAAATCTTCATCTCAAATAGATACACCTCCAGGATTCATTGATAGGAGCATCAAAACAAGAGTGCACAGAAATGAAACATCGTTTGTGCAAAATCAGAAACTTCACTCTAACCTTGATTTCAAAGGAGATTTAACACATGAAGACTTTCAGTGTCCTCAGGAATAACACTAGTGACAGGAAAGCTAAGTGTTGTGTTCTTCTCAAGTCGTCGACTGGTCTGCAGAAACCTGAGGGATAGAGTGTCTCATGTGAACACCTCTGCGTGCATGCATATCAGGTCACTTGTTCCTATGGAGTGAGGGATATTGAACGTTTGACGTGTATCCTGTCAAAGAGTGTAGTTTAAGAACACCATCCTACACGTGGTTTCAGAAGGATAGCATTGGTTCTATAAGGAGTAGGGATATTCAAATACCACTGTTGACACTGGTCATTTTATTTCAACAAACTTCTCATTGAAATATCATCCTGTTTGCAACTCACTAATTTGTAATTTTTTTAATTATTGTGTAGCTGTAATCCCATTATTCAATTTTGCTTATATACGTGTTAATATTAGCAACTATTATTATGACAACTCTTCACTGTTTTTCTATCCCCTTTTAAATGATTGTATAGCTAAAGAGGAAAATGAATTCACCAAATAGGGCCTCTTCAGTAAACAATACAACCTGTTTTTTTCTTCTCCTTACTGCCTGGATGGGAATTATCCATAAACTACAAGATGTCTTATTACTCAGAATTTGTTATAAACAGACACGGAGATCAGATTTACTGCATAATAAAAATGAGTTGGTTACATAGTCAAAAGGTCATTCAGTCTGTCTATCAAATGAATAAAGCAATCCTCAACCATTACAAGTCAACAAGAGATGATAAAATCATAAGACGTGGCCAGTCCCGTTCAAGGTCACACTGGGAGAACCGGTAGTAGATGTGAACGATATTGGACTAAGAGAATGACATTAGGAAATCAATCGGATAATTTAATAGTGAGAAGCAGGCACCTCGTATTTCATTGGTGACTGGATGACATAGAGATGACCCCTCTCTTCTTGACCGTAGTGAGAATGTATTTTTATTACCGGGCTATCAGTGTCTAGTGATAGCTGGGTTAACTCCATCAATTCGGACGAATGGAGTGGTTGCATCACTGGCGGCTAAACAAAATGTCATCTCTACAAATTACACATTTTACACTATGGTTTCATCTGATTGGGTTGTTCGAGGGGATTTTGACGGTCAATTCGCTTGGGTAACCACAAGTTTACTTTTACGGTGAACCAATTACTCGACCAATGCACTCTCCAGAAGGGTAAACACCTGATGCCATGGAGAACATCAGATAACCACATCCCAGCATGTCGTTTCAGGCCGTACGGACGCAGTAACGGGTGTTTCTTCCAAATTAATTTGTTTATTAGATGTATCGCATAGTGAAAGAGCATTATTTGCCGGATGACGTGTCGAACACAATTAACTGCTGTTCATAATCGCACCAGTTTTATCTACACATAGAAAAAAAATGTTCAGAATGATTTAACAGCACTAACAGTAAGAAATTTAAATCATCAGTTGTACTTTCACACAGTGAAGGAAATTCGAAAACCTTAAGTAAAATTATCAAAAATGCTGGTAGGAATGAAAGTGGCAATCAAACTCGCTTGAAAACAAATGTTGTCGTTTAAAGGGTCCTGTGAAGCCAATTTAACACTAACAATTTAGTTTATCTAATACCCTGTTGGAATGATTGTCAGATCAAATACATAGGTCAAACTAGTAGAACAGGGGCAGTCAGACCAGCCGTGCATAAAAACCTAGCAAAATCTAGATTAGTTGACCCGAATAAGATAAGAACTTTAGAGAATAGTTCAGTTATACCACTCATTACATGCAATTACACACAACCATACAATAGGATTGATGGGATCAGATGACAGTACTAAAATCTTATATAACAGTGTGGAGGGAGAGATTGATAACGGAAGCTCTATTTATCGAATCAACTAAGAGAATACGTGTGACAACTGTCCAACCCGCGCATTTAGAAAATTCTACTGCCCCTACGACGAAAGGGAAGGAATGCAGAATAATATGAAACGTAAGTTTCAAAGCTGTGCAGTTAAAATTAGTATGACTATTAACCAAAATAAATTTTGTTCGAAACTTTGTCATCCATCAAATAATAATACTATTTCATTCTATGATTTGAAAACTTATGAACAACTGTGGGTTTGTTATAATAAAGGTTTTTGTATTTCCCAATGAATGAAAAACAAAACGATATTGTTTTAACTGATGTTTCGCTATTTAATGCTATTTATTTATTATACATATTGATACCTGTTGCATAACTCATGATTGGACAAAAATTTCAAAAAAACAAGGTGTCCCTTTACATATAAACCTCTGTTATGTTAATTTCGATTAATTTCCCTGAAGAAGTTCGGACCAGATTTCCGAACGAAACGTTGGAATTACTCGTTTCAATTTCGTTGAGATTTTACAAATATAACTTTATAAATGTCTACTTCTCACTCAGCGCTCAATTATTTTGCAACTCTCCTGTCAAATCTTGATCACAGTTCATATGAATAATAGCTTTATCATTCTAAAACTGTGGGTTTGGCTGAAAAAACAGGAAAAATTAGAGAAGTGCTGCTGACAGCCTGCGTCCCGCTGGTAACCCAAGGGAATAATAAATAATACCGTGATATATTTAATAAAAAGAGTAATACGAAATTGCATAGTACCATATTGCCCAAGTTTTACACATGGTAACGAGTTTTTCTCTTACACAGGGTATGTTAGACTCACACCGGTCACTAGAATAAGCGCATTCTTCAGGGGTACATTGGATAACCGGAAATCGACTCCACTCAGAGCTTCGCAAAAGTTGGTGGACATTCCGCCTATTCCACTGTCGACGCATCAAATCCTGATTTAAAAACAACGCCTTAGTTATACAAAATACTTAACTCTACGCCTCCCGGTAGAAAGACAAATGAACAAAACAAGTCGAAATAAGGGCGGATAAGATAAAATTTATTTTGATAACTTTGTTGAGCGGATAACGATCAAAGGTAAATAATAGTAATAATAATAATAATTCATAACTGATTTCTGTTTATACAAGGTTAAAGCGACTTAGAAGCATTTACGATGAACAATACCTGGACCAGATTCATCATATTCTTGTTTTGAGATCCACATCTGTTGGAAAGTGGACAGTGAGGCGAGAATAGAACCACCAATCCAGACGGAGTATTTCCTCTCTGGTGGAGCAACAATCTTAATCTTCATTGTACTTGGTGCCAAGGCGGTGATCTCTTTCTGCATACGATCAGCAATACCAGGGAACATGGTAGTACCACCAGACAGCACAGTGTTGGCATACAAATCTTTACGAATATCAACGTCACATTTCATGATCGAGTTGAAGGTGGTCTCGTGGACACCAGCAGATTCCATACCCAAGAAGCTTGGTTGGAACAATGCCTCAGGACAACGGAATCGTTCATTACCAATAGTGATGACCTGACCATCGGGAAGTTCATAACTCTTCTCCAAAGATGAGCTTGATGCAGCAGTGGCCATCTCTTGTTCAAAGTCCAAGGCAACATAGCACAGCTTCTCCTTGATATCACGAACGATTTCTCTCTCGGCGGTTGTGGTGAAGCTGTAACCACGTTCAGTCAAAATCTTCATCAGGTAGTCAGTCAAATCACGACCAGCAAGATCCAAACGTAGGATAGCGTGTGGAAGAGCATAACCTTCGTAGATTGGCACAGTGTGAGTGACACCATCACCAGAGTCCAACACAATACCAGTTGTACGACCGGAGGCATACAATGACAGGACAGCTTGAATACCAACATACATGGCTGGTGTGTTGAATGTCTCGAACATGATTTGTGTCATCTTCTCACGATTGGCCTTCGGATTCAATGGAGCCTCAGTCAAAAGGACAGGATGTTCCTCAGGGGCGACACGTAATTCGTTGTAGAATGTATGATGCCAAATCTTCTCCATATCGTCCCAATTGGTGACAATACCGTGTTCAATGGGATACTTCAAGGTGAGAATACCACGTTTCGATTGAGCTTCATCACCGACATAACTGTCTTTCTGACCCATACCAACCATGACACCCTGTGGAACAAGGAGAAGGAGATAGGCAAGGCAACGATTATTAATTAGTTAGGCTGCACAAAACAAATAGAAGCAATTACAGGTAAGAAACATCTACACCACTTCAATGTCTGTGGAGTTGAAATCTCCAACGAGGTCGAAACTAGCAAAACTCTACCTGGACAGCCTTCCTATCTCGTCTTAAGAGGAAACCATGTACCATTCTATTGAAAGAATTTAGAGAAAAGTCACAGGTATGATTCTTGTCTGACTGACTGACCAGTCCCCTAACAGTTAAAATCTTTTCTCCTAATTACACCGTAGTAGGCAGAGAGAGAGAGAGACGAGGAGGAGGAGGGAGAAATCTCCTTGCAATGGTAATATAATTCAATGAAACAACTTTCCTAATTCCTCCCTGATGGTCAAGAACATCCCAGACGGCATTGAACGAGAGTTCAAAACCCAGAAGAGTTGCATTGCTTTCAGAGTACTGACTGGTTATTCTACCGAGTCATAAACTGTTGGAACCAACTTCAAGAAGCAGGGACTAGACTGGCATAGATATTTACTAAGGATTACTTGGGATTAGAAGAGAAATATTAACGAACACAGGCTCAAAGCCTTTTTCTATCATCAACCAATCAACAAATCTAAATCCTTCAATATACTTGTAGCATAGAGAGAAGTACTGGTCACTGTTGAACACTACTCAACAGTGTATCATTGGTATAAGGATAAAACTTGTACACTGTGGTAGAGTATAATTCTATTATGGGTAAAAATTTGTCTTGATAACATCTTACAGTGTTATACAGTAATTTATACTGATATCATTACTGTATAACACTGTCAGACTTTATCGAAACAAATTTCACCCATAATGGAGTGTATCAGGTATCATAGACATAACAGAAAATAGTATGAATTAACCAGTCGCTTACCTGATGACGAGGGCGTCCGACAATTGAAGGGAATACAGCTCTTGGTGCATCGTCACCAGCGAAACCAGCTTTACACATACCGGAACCATTGTCTACAACAAGGGCCTGAACTTCTTCGTCGGACATGATTGTTGTTAGTTATGACTTGAAACGGATAAAAGCTGTGCAAGCAACGAACCCGAACCGCAATATGAAAACTTGACAAAGCTGAAGCACAATTTATTCAGTTTTTTTTGTCCATTCAACTAAGCGCAATGTCCATTTATGGTCATCGAACAGTTTCGACTACGGTGATTGGTTTATTTAAATTTTGAAATTTTATCATCGTTACTATTAATACTACCACTATTGGCTTGTGTGTATGTGTCGGAGACACACACTCGCACACATCAATTTATAATATTTGTGTGTATGTCACCTTGGCCAGATTTATGTATATATGCCCCATGATTGTTAATCAATAAGGAGGCAAATTTCAGTTGAATGATTTTAGTGGTGGCGCTGTGGGGGGGAGTTTGGGATGAAAAGGAGCACAAATGATTGGTAATCCCACTGGAGATTTATCCATATATGTAGAAACCAAACATTCTACCGATTTTTTGTTGTGGTTATAAAAACCATTTAAAGGTCAAGTTTAGAACATCAGGAAGTTAAAAAGGTAGGGTTAAAATAACGGTGTATGGGTGTGTGCGTAGAGGAGGAGAGGAGGACGAGATGGAAGTACTAAATTGTATGGGCACAATTTATTTACTTATTTATTTATTTAATCTATCCTTAAATGGACATTACAGTAAAAGGAAAATCATACTATGTGTTTGGAGGCAATCGATAGGTAGGAAGTCATTACCCCAATTTCTACCTGGTCTGGCCAATCAAAGTATCCCACATCCGTAGGTCAATCACGAGGCAGAATAGCTCAGTGGTCAAGTATATCTCTGAATTCAGCACTGTATGACGCGGGTTCGAATCTCAGAAGAAGAAAAAGGAGAAGGGATATGAGTTCCTTCGAGGTGACTGCAGATACACACAACTTCCTGACCGATATGGGCTCCAACAAACAAGAAACCTAGGTCAGAATGGTAGGGCATCTTAGCGACTATCTTCAGCCATCTAACGAAGATGATAATATTGGAAGACTGAAATATAGGTTTTTTTAGTTGTTGGTTGGTCTCCAGGGTTTCTGTGTGTGTGTGTGTGGGGGGGTGGGTGGGTGGGGGGGAAGGAATTTGATAGATTTCAAGATTGGTGATCACAAACTGATTGACGGGCTGACACACTTCAGTTAGAGTTTAGTAAAAACCAACAGCAGGGAGCACAATGGACATACGTTTTATCGTCCTGATTTGCGACTGACTCTCCAGCAGCAGCACATACCCCCGACGTCGTCAAAGACCAAGTCGGGAACCTTCATGTCATCTTAACCATTCAGTGATCCGCAGATTCTAATTTTGTCAGTTCGTAACAGAGCGCTATTACCAACAACTGGGGCCTTCGACGAGCATCCAGTTTGCACCGCACTTTTCAGTAAGGCTTCACGACGGATGATTGAATTCCGCTCCCCCTCCTCCAAGTGTCTGAATGGTTATCAAACAGTTTGGTCTTGTAACCCGAAGGTCCCGAGATGGAACAAGACAGATGTTTAGTGCTCCCTGATTTTCAATAATGTCTCCGAATGATGTTGGGTTGTGACAACTGTAATTAATCTGAATCCCATGATTTAAATAATAGGGTTATGGTTGACTTAAGGAAACAGACTAGCCTTTTAGCGTTATAACTCTTTCCTAGGCGACTGATAGAGTATTTGTGCCTCTTAGGTGTTTAAAGTACAACTTTTCTGGAACTCCTCTTCATCAGTGTACGCACCAGTGGTAGCACCAAGGACTTTCGGGTTACAAGGCGAGCTTGTTAACCATTCACTTACTGGAAGAACGGAATCCACTGACCAGCCCATCATTTCTAACTTTCCATAACCCCTGTCTACTCGGTAAATCCTGCTGGTTATGAATGCCAAGCAGAACGATTCAGGCAACTTCATCCTGCGTTCAGTCAGTCAGTCAGCCACTAGTGAGCACTAGACTTATTTTCATATGTTAATTCACAAGGGTATTGATAATAACAGTTTTATTTCAAACAGTAAATTTGATCCATTGTGAAACTCTCAGCATATATTGTTATATGTTTCATCTAATTATATTATTAACAAGGCATTTGCATTGATAGTAACATCAATAAGGATATGAATGCTTAATTAAAATTTAAGTGAAAATATTAACAACAACATAAAGCTTTCTATAGTTGCTTCTAGTGCTGCATACCCGATGAGATGCAAATGTGGTGAGTCGTGCATAAAGAGAATACCCACAGTCTGTCCCACAAAAGATATTATTCGCTAATTTCTTCCATGAGTTCATGATTCCACTGCCTACGATACTATCAACAAGTTGGTTTAGCGACACGCCACTCGCCCTACTGACAGCTTTTGGTGTCCTTCTCATTGTAACAAAGTCTTTCTTAAGTAGTCCAGAAAAGATTAAGGCTGCAGTGCAGTAGAGAAGAATAGGTAGAATGCAAGAATTAACAAACTGTAAAAGCTGAGATTGAGTGATAGCAGATTTCCTTAACTAACCAGAAACATAAGACCCCATTAACGTGCAACTGATTTCCAGTGTGATTGTTTTCTCCGAACCTTCAATCAATGGAAAGTCCTTTTTCTAGACGACATCTTGCTTCAGTGCTTATTTCAATTGTTGTGAAGTAAGGTTTTCCTCGAGTGCTCCCGATTAATGGAAGGTGAGCAAAGGATGATTAAGTCTTCAGTCTGTGGACACCGTCTGGGGTTAGGTCATTCAGCCATATGTGGTTTATTCTTTGCAGAACCAAATCCAACCACTCCAAAAGTTTTCGTTTTTCCCACTAATGTGTAACCGAAGCTCCGACTGTATATGGACAGAATCCTAGATGGTGTGTTCAAAAATGTCGTGTCAAACCCCTTTCTTTACCTTGGTCATATTAATATTCCTTTATTTCATTCTATTTTACCACTTGAATTCATTCCACTTCACTTCACCTTCGCCGTCTTTATTGTTATCATCATCGTACTCTTAAGCTTTTAGACGACTCTTGATCAAATTATAAATTTCTAACACCAATTCACTTATTTAATAATCTTTAAAAGTCATACGAACTGTGATCAAGATTTGACAGGAGAGTTGCAAAATAATTGAGCGCTGAGTGAGAAGTAGACATTTATAAAGTTATATTTGTAAAATCTCAACGAAATTGAAACGAGTAATTCCAACGTTTCGTTAGGCAAACTTGGTGTGAACTTCTTCAGGGAAATTAATCGAAATTAACATAACAGAGGTTTATATGTAAAGGGACACCTTGTTTTTTTTAAATTTTGTCCAATCATGAGTTATGCAACAGGTATCAATATGTATAATTAATAAATAGAATTGTATGTTAATTTCGATTAAATTCCCTGAAGAAGTTCGGACCAGATTTCCGAACGAAACGTTGGAATTAATCATTTCAATTTCGCTGAGATTTTACAAATATAACTTTATAAATGTTTAAAAGTTTTGTAATTCATCCACTTCAACTCTACCCCCTTAATACACTTTAGTTATATTCATTCTTATAGTATGTATACTGACTGAGCGATTTCTAGTGCCACTTAATGCCGTTTTCAGTAATATAAATACGACTGTACAGCTTGAAAAGAAATATTTCTTTGCTGAATGAAAAACTGTTGCTGTCTGCGCCACCTTTGTTGCATGTGTTCGGGGTGAAGTGAAATTAATGATGAGTATATGGATTCCATTGTTACTAGTAGTCTCTCTTTCCGTTTGTGTCCATATATTTATATATATAATCACAATCAATACGCTATGTCAAATTTTCCATCCCATTCATGTTCTTCACTTTAAAGATAGGCTATTTTGTTGAGATAAAGGTGTCCCACTACTTATATAGCCTATATTGCTAACTTTCCACAACTATGTGAGGTGAAAGTGTTGTTGAACACGCGTCGAACGACAAACAAACCTCTCTTCATATGAACGGATGAAGTGATATTATTAAACATAAAGGTGATCAGATACCCAAATTCCGATATCCATGCTGAAAATTCCATACTTGTACCAAAAATACAGTGTGGAATCAAGCTGTAAATCAAAAAAAAAAAATTCTCCTCTTAAGGATATCAGTGGTGTAGCGTTCATGTGTGTTTCCGCTTTTTTGCTATAATGTTTTACTTCTGTGAGATTTTGTGTGCTTTGTTATTCGTGTCAGTTGGGTAACCACTCCTTGGGTGTAAATATCTTTCAGAAGGTTTAATTATTCTCCTAGAGCTCAATGGCTACGGACATTTAGTCAGAGGTTTATACTGTTTCACACTTTTATTTTAAGTGATAATCTAGACATCTAACCCACACATGTAGTTAGTCGGACATTGAACTCAAGATATTCTGTAAATTATATCAACGCTTTTATTATTAGAAATTTCAAAAGACAGATTACTAGTGAACAAAGAATACACATTTGGATAACCTTGTCCTAATCATCACGTTCTTCAGTGATATGCATCTATAATAATTCCTTGGAATTATTCTTAAAGACAACGTTAATAAAAAGTCAATCTGAACGAAGAATATTCTTTTCAAGAATTTCTCTTCAGATTCTTACAATCATAAAATATAATATTTGTTGTCGTTACAATAGAGGCCAGTTATGCGGCGGCGGATACATTTTTAACGTAGAATAACAGATTATTTTATTTATGGGATGTCAAAATAAATAGTCGTGTGACAAACGATCCTGTCACACTTGGTCGACACCGGACATCGTATCGATGTCGACACAGCCTTCGGGGTTATATACCGAATTCCAAAGTCGTTATCACATACAGTTCGCTTACGTCTCCTACACATAGCTGAAGCTGTTGCAATAAGATCGACTAAACCGGAACTTTGTATCCAAAGAGAACACGTCCAGACACTGTTCCTACCGTGGCCAAACTTGGATTGATGATTCTTCTTCTCACCAAGAGTGCTCCTACCCCTTAACCCTCTTGGTTTGTTTTACTTTGCTTATTATTACAAATATTATTACTATTAATCGTCATAATTTATGCCCTTCAAGCAAACATTCCCTCAGTACTATCGAATTTTCATTTATACTATCCGGATATATTATTAGGGATATTATCTCTTGTGCGTCGGTGGCACAGTGGTTAGAACTCTCGCCGACCATGCACATGGTCCGAGGTTCGAGCCCTCGCCGACGCACACCTGATATCTATGGTCGGCCTGCAAAATTTGGTCTACCGATATCCATGCTGAAAATTCCATACTTGTACCAAAAAGAATACAGTTTGGAATCAAGCTGTAATCAAAAATTAAAAAAATTAAATTAAAATTAAATTATCTATATAGATGCCTCCACCAGTTTCATTTCACATATTCGTTATTTCATTATGAACTTCTCATTGCAGTCTTACTATCTCCTGTTTAACACAGACTACTTTGTACCAGTCACTCACCTGAAACATTTTGTAACCTTGAACTGACTTGTCAATTTTCCTACACCACACTACAAATCTGTTATGACTAATCACCACCATTGTCTGCCGTGTTACAATATTTCGTAATCGATTTCAGCCGATTTTTGCGAAGGTCTGAGTGGAGTCGATTTCCGGTTAT